AAGCAGTCGAGCTGAACTTATACGACAAGCAGCACTCATTATATGGGATGAAGCTCCAATGGTAAAGAGAGCAACCATTGAGGCAGTCAATAGGACTTTTCAAGACATCATGAACAACTTTGAACCATTTGGGAGTAAAGTAATGGTATTTGGGGGATATTTTCGCCGGGTTCTTCCAGTTGTCCCTCGAGCAACAAGACAACAAATAGTTAATGAAAGTTCAGTACGATCATATCTTTGGGAAAAAATGCATAAATTGCATTTGCCACGGAATATGAGAGTGCAAAATGATCATCAATTCGCGGAATACTCGATCAAAATCGGCAATGGAACAGAACGAACTGTAGGAGAAGACTTCATCTCACTTCCAAAAGACATAGTACTTTCCTCCAACAACAACAACTCTCCAGAGCTCAATTTAATCAACTTTGTCTTCTCAGACCTACCAAAAATGCTGAATCATCAGAATATATGACACAAAGGGCGATTCTATCCAGTACAAATGAAAACGTTGATCTCATAAACGAAAAAATGATTGATCTTTTTCCGGGTGAAACTAAAGAGTTCCTCAGTTATGATATGGCAATTGATGACATAAATAATTACTATCAACTAGAGTTTCTCAACATATTACTTCCAAATGGAGTTCTACCTCATCGATTAGTGTTGAAAATAAATTGTCCAATAATGCTCTTGAGAAATCTAGATCCTTCAAATGGGCTCTACAATGGGAGTAGGATGGTTTGTCGTCAATTCAGTACACATGTTATACATGCAGAGATAACTACCGGGCAATACTCTGGCAAACATGTATTCATGCAGAGATAACTATCGGGCAATACTCTGGCAAACATATATTCATTCCGCATATACCATTAAGTCCTGTAAATGATGAAGGATATCCATTCAAATTTATACGGAAACAGTTTTCTGTACGTCTATGTTTTGCAATGACAATCAACAAGGCCCAAGGACAGACAATACCTCACGTAGGAATATATCTTCCACAACATGTATTCTCACATGGACAGTTATACGTTGCACTTTCAAGAGGAATTTCTATGACAAATACAAAGGTTTTAGTTAAATCGGATATCCCTAATCATACAAAAAATATAGTGTACAAAGAGATTCGCATTGAATAAAAAGTTCATTTCACATCAACAATTCTTCTCAACTATCTTCCAAAGTAAGGCATCTTCAACTATTACTTTTAGGACACTTATAAAGCAATTCAAAACAACGTGCAACGCACGTTTACTTTTGACTAGTTTAAATAAAAACATTATACCATAATATACAAGTAGCATAACATTATTGGAGATTTGAAAAATAGTTTTTTCGATCCTCTACTCATGAAATTTCATATGTACATTATGGACATCCTTATGAATTAGTACATGTAAAATTATCTAATATTTAATTTGATTTCTTGTTTAAATATTTTTTTATTAATTACCTTAATTGGTTATGTATATTTAATTACTTTATTTATTTTAAATACTTACTCAAATAAAAAATTAATATTTAATTTAATTTCTTCTTTAAAATTTCATTAATTAATTATCTTAATTTGTTATGTATATTGTTTATTTAATATTTCATTACTTTATTTAATTACTTATTCGAATAAAAAATTAATATTTAATTTAATTTATTCTTTAAATATCTCATTAATTAATTATCTTGATTTGTTATGCATATTATTTATTTAATATTTAATTAGAACATAAATCACATGGTGTATGAGAATATTTAATAGAGATGGGAGTTGAACTTTATGCACGGTCACATTTTCAAATATTATTCAAGAATGCCGGAACTATATTTCCTCTACCAAATGAAGTCGAGTGAGAAGTTCCCGATTATAGTATGTTACTCTCTATCAAATGGATGTGTAATATCTATTTAAATCTTATGTACTCTATATTTATAGTGTGTTATTGATTTCCTCAATTTTCTTTATTTATAGTGTGTTATATATGTAATTAAGAGTAATTAGTTATTTATNTGGGATATGGATTTAGGGTCTTAATCCGATAATCCAATCGAGATTCAAATCCGATAATCCGTTAACTAAATGAATCATATATGGATATAGATCAATTCGATCTGATAAATAAATAAAAATTTTATTTTTCTAATTTTTTTCAATTTCCGATCGGATATCCGATAACATAGTTAATCGGATATGGATTTAGCATTCAAATATCCGTCGAATTATTGGATCGAATCGGATAGGATAATTATTATTAACAGATCAGATCGGACTTGAGCATATCCGATCCATTTACAACCCTGACTTCAATACGAAGATTTCACAATCGCCTGGGTCAATTTTACAAAAGAGGTTGGGCAACGTATCATCAACTTATGTTCTCTTCTTTATCTCGATCGTGTACGGTAAAACAATGTGTTGTGACAGCAATCTAGTCCTCTTGCTAACCATTTGCTCTGGCACGTCAATAATATGTTTCGTACAAGGTATCATCCAAACTCACGACATTATTAGTCAAGTTGAGGGTCCTCTCCGGCATAGTTATGTATATTATTTATTTAATATTTAACTACGTTGTTTAATTATTTATTTAATCACATAATTAAATAAAAAATTAATATTTAATTTAATTTCCTATTTAGATATTTCACTTATAATTTATCTTAATTGGTTGTGTGTAGTATGTATTTAATATTTCATTACCTTATTTAAATAAATTTTACAATACTAGTCACAGGTGAACGTGCGTTACACGTAATTTTGAAATGCTTTATTATTGTCGTAAAATTAATATATGACGATGCACTAATATAAAAAGTAGTTAAGAATTGTTTATGTGAATGAACTTTTTATACAATTCAATCATTTATTTACGTGCATTTATAATAGTTAACATTTATTTATATATACCATACTATAATTCAATCAATTAATTCTTCATGTTGATGTACACTTTATATGTTTTGGGGCTATATAATTAATCTTGAAGTACCACAATTCAATTATTTATGTATGTATATGTATTGTAATTAACATTTATTTATAGATATATTAAATATCATATCAAGTCTTCAAGTTCATGTACACTTTATATGTTTTGTGGGCTATTCAATTATTCTAGGAGTAAATAAATTATTCATCCATTACTATAGGAGTAGATAAATTATTCAAGTTCATGTACACTTATTCATTTTCGATATTATTCATTTAATCTATGATATAACACCCTTTGTCTAAATGTATATAAATTATTATTTTCTATATCTATTAAGTCAAATTAATTAAATTCCGTGTTGATTCATGTATGCATCCTTTGTCTAAATGTATATAAATTATTATTTTTCTATATTCATTTAAATTTCACGTTGGTTCAGTACACACCCTTTATCTAAATGTATATAAATTATTCTTTCTCTATATTCATTGATTCAAATTAATTAAATTCCATGTTCATAAATGTATTTGACAATTATTTATTTACATGCATGTATAATAATTAATATTCAATTAAATACACATTGAAAAACGAAAAGAATATATTATTGAAATAATTGAGTTGTAGTAAGGCTAGAATCATCCAAAAAATAATTCTCCCTTGATGTGATACTTAATATATTATAGATATACAATTATTTCATAAATAAAAAAATATATACAATTATTACAATTATTTCGTTCCCACCATCGGCACCTCTCCTAATTATTACCGTCATAAGTAGGATCGGCGTAACAGGTTTGCATGCTCCTCATCCAACAAATCTAAAACTAATACGACACTGACAAAGTTATAGTTTGACATAACTTTGTTGTGAATCTATCTCATGGCGGCGTCCAAATGGTAATCCATCCTATAAAATTTAAAATATTTGGACCTTGTGTAAGAAACAATGAATAAAACATAATATTTGAAAATTAAATTGTTTATTTACTTATTTAAATTGTTTATTGAATATTTAATTTTTAATTAATTATCTAAATTATTTATTTACTTATTTAAATTATTTATTGAGTATTTAATTGTTAATTATTTATTTAAATTGTTCATTTAAATTATTTATTTTAATTATTTAGTTGTTTATTTAATATTTATTTTAATTGTTAATTAAATGTTTAATTGTTTGTTTTAAATGTTAAATATTTATTTCAATTGTTTATTTAATATTTAATCACTTATTTTTATTATTTATATTTATGGTTCATTTAAATTAATTATTTTTTACTTAAATGTTAATTATCTATTTCAATTGTTTATTACTTATTTAAATTACTTATTTTTTTTGTTCATTTAAATTATTTATTTGATATTTAAATGCTAATTATATATTTCAATTGTTTATTTAATATTTAATTACCTTTTTAAATTATTTTTTATTATTTATATTTATTTGTTATTTATGTTAAGTAATTATTATAATTGTTTAATTAATATTTAATTTACTTCTTTATTCAATTTATTTCAATTAGCTATTTATCATTTAAATTATTTATTTGATATTTAAATGTTAATTATTTATTTCAATTGTTTATTTAATATTTAATCACTTATTTAAACAATTTTTTATTATTTATATTTATTTGTTATTTATGTTAAGTAATTATTTTTATTGCTTAATTAATATTTAATTTACTTCTTTATTGAATTTATTTCAATTAGTTATTTATCATTTCAATTAGTTTATTATTTCAATTAGTTATTTATTATTTACTTAAATAAAAAATATTCATAAATAATTAACATAATTCATGAAATATTTAAATCAACAAATAAAGTAAAAAATAAATAATTATATATTAAAAGATAATATACATAAACAATTAAAGTAATTACTTAAAAATTTAAATAAACAATTAAATTAAATATTGATTTATTAAATTATTTATTTAATATTTAATTTATTTTTTTAGTTAAATATTTCATTAATTATTTTAATTGGTTATGTATATTGTTTGTTTAATATTTAATTACTCTATTTAATTGTTTATTTCATATTTATTTGCTTCATTTAATTATTTATATTAATTTCCTATTTATTTTAATTGTTTATTGAATATTCAATTGTTTATTATATTTATTTCATTATTTAAATTATTTATATTTTAAATAAAATGAAATAAAAAACAATTAATTATTTTACTTATTAAATAAACAATTTACACAATTCATGAAATATTTATAAACAATTAAATTCAATATTTAAAAAAAAAAGTTGGCACGGGCCAATCCAGCCAGACGACCCAGATCGTCTGGGCCATCTGGATCCAGACGGCCCAGCTTCTGGGCGGTCTGGACGGTCTGGATCCAGACAGTCCAGCCATCTGGGTCATCTGGATCCAAACGATGATGTCGTTGTCGCCTGAATCGTCTGAAAACTCCATTTTCGACGAGCTCCATTTCATTTTTCACTTTTCTTAACCAATTCAACCTCAAATTCATTTTTTCCTTCTATTTTAACTATAAAAATTTGTATTAAACTCATAATTTAACATATTCAAATCTTAAACATTCAAATTTTTATGTATTAAATTCAAACATTCAAATTCCCACATATGTTAGACCTCAATGGTGAGTAAATTACAAAGAAACACATCTAATCTTTGAGAAATGGCGATCTCCGGCAAATGGTCAAAATGGGTCCGATCTGAACGATCTGTAGGTGGCGTTGATGATTCTCTTTTCTTAGTTTTCTCTTTCCTTCTCCTCTTCTCTTCTCTTCTCTTTATTTGAGGATATTTTTGTCCTTTGGGTATTGTTTGCATTTTCAGGGTTTTTTTTTTAAATGAAATTTTTTGGGTTAAAGGCCATTTTAGAAAAATGGCAAAGTTAGACAGC